CTCAAAGAAAAAAAAAAAGAGAGAGCCCACCGAAAATGTTTTAAATGAGTCTAGAAATAGATAATGAAGATTTCACAGACTGTCTGGCTGAATTTCATACACCACATCACTCTGATGGAAAGTGCATCTTCCTACTGGGTAATACACATCAACGAGAATATAGAAACCAGTCTCCTGTGGGCCTTTAACAGGTTATACCTTCCACTACTCACTGCTCTGATCACTAAAAGGTTACTTTCTACCACCAATACTTGTAAGGCTATCACTCTTTCATCTCTCCTAACCCTAACATTTCTGAGGAGTCTCTATGGAAACCACTATCATAAAAGCAGGCTAATCTATGGGAAGTCCAACCAGAGGACATATGGTAAATATTAAACCCCAGAAGGACTGTGCCACTGCAGAAGAATTACAAGCATAATGGAAACTTGGAAGTAATGCTATCTGGACGTCCATTTTCCATCTCTTTTTCATCCACCCGTAGGATCTACAATGCCCCAGTGATTTTCACAGTCTTTACTCCCTTAAGCAGCAGTCCTTTCTTTCAGCAAAAATTTGTGGAAGTTCAATACATAAAACATAAAAGGCAGAGCTGCTGGTTGATGGGACAATAAGGAGGTCCTCTTTATTGTCAATAAGGACAATTATTGACAATAAGGAGGCTTTGTCCTCCTCCCTCACCCCTTACCTACCCACATGACACTATGGAATCCCAAGGGAAATAAGGAACCATGTCTGAAAAGTAATGGTTTGGTGAGGATGATAGTGATTTAATTAATATAGTCTTTAAGAGAACAATAAGTAATAATAAGTCATAGTCCTAGCTTCATAGGAGCCTTTTCTGAGTAGAGTGCTTCTGTTACATGTTTACCCATTTCAGTTGTAATCAACTTCTCAGTTTGGTAACTTTAATGCCTAGGAGCACAGAACTCTTTGGTTTCAGGAAAAGTCACATTAATACTACATTATGCATCTCTCTCTAACCTCATTCATGACACCTGGGGTTTCCTCAGGTAAGTGTAGCTGCTGACCCAGGGTTTGGCCCATGTGAAATATTTAGGAGTAGAAAAAAGGTTTAGTGAAGTAGTAAAGTCAACTAGGAGAGCCAAATCACCTGCAAATCAGGATTTGAGAAGTTTCATCTAAGTATGAAAACACTGAAGTTACTTGTCACAGATGAGCCACCTCAGAGAAAGAAAAATAGATATTCAAAGTTTCCCAGTCAAAAGAGAATTTTTCCATGCTACAGTCATGCACAGCATTTGTACTGGGAAACTTCAAGTCAGGTTCATTTCATGATGTGACAGGGGAAGTGATCAAAACCAGATTTTCTCATCATATCTGAAAGTATCATTAGGATATCATTATGAAAACTAGTGGCAATTATGTTCTTGTTTTTTAGAGAGGTTTTAAGCTAAACTGAATGAGGATTAGGTTTACTAATAGAATGGATTCACTGACGCTATTACCCAAAGGGAATACTTATAGCCACTAAAAGTATGTTGGAAAAGAACATTTAAGCACATAGGAAAAATGTTGCAATTATACTAAGTAAAAATGGATATAGAACACTAAGATTTTAAGTTTGCATTTTTAAAAAGACATACATATTCATAGGAATAAAAGCTGGAAGCATCTTTACCAAAATATTATCAATGGCTGTATCTGAGTGCTAATCTTTATTTTGTTGTTTAAACTTTTCAATATTTAACAAATTTTCTTTTTTTCCTTTTTGTTCATACTTAAATAAATGTTTTTTATATTTTTCTTCTTTTCTACTTTTATCTTAGGGTCAGGAGATACATGTGCAGATTTGTTACATGGGTAGGTTGTGTGTTACTGAGGTTTGGTGTACGAAGGATCCCATCACCAAGGTGGTAAGCACAGTGCCCAACAGTTAGTCTTCCAATCCATGCCTCCCCGACCCTCTCTCTCAAGCATTCCCTACTATCGTTCCGGTCCTTATGTATTCAATGTTTAGCTCCCACGTATAAGTGAGAACATGTGCTTTTTGGTTTTCTGTTCCTGCATTAGTTCACTTAGAATAATGGTCTCCAGGTGCTTCCATGTTACTGCAAAGGACATGATTTCATTCTTTTTTATGGCTGTGAATATTCATCAAATTTTCTATGTAGAATCAGGAAAAGACACTTAAAAGCAGAAAGAAATTTTATTTACTGAAAAGAAATGGTGTACCTAAAATTCTGAGATTCATATATAAATGCCAGAGCTGTCCTTAACTGTGTGATTGTGTGGCAAAATTCCAGTCCCAACTTGCTTTGGAAGAAACAGCTGCTCATGCAACTGCTAAGGTGAGTCGACCCTAATTGCTGCTAACAGCGTGGTAAGCACTGGGTGGGAAATGGCATGCAGCCCAAGCAGACACATCCAGTTCTCAAGAGTGGCTCAGTCCATCATTCACCAGAATTGCCACTGTCCTGACAAAACCTCGTTGACGAACAACACCAACCACATCTAGAAGCTTTTGCTTCTGTGAGGATGAGGCTTATTTAGCTGTTTAGGACTGCCTTTGTATGAATGCTAAACATAAGAAAATTCTTAGACATGTTTATGATCTAAATGTCACCACTGTGTATAATCAGCAAGGCAATGTAATTGTTAGAAACATTGCTGGTGAAAAACAGATCTAGGTTCAATTCTGGCCCTGCTATTTTCTAATCACATGAGCTTGGGCAAGTTTCATAATCTTATAAACCTCAGTGTATTCATCTTTCAGTGAGGTTGACCACATCTATCTCTCAGGATTTTTAGGATCATTTAAAATATTTTTCAGTATGTACATCCACTAATTTAATGAGAACATTCTAGAAGCCTAAATACATAGGAATTTCAAATTATTTAGCCCCTTATTGAAAAAAATCAGATACCATATATTCTTAAACTTAAAACTTATATTCTTCTATATAAGGCAACTTCCCAGCTGTACACATTGAAAGTGGTCACTGAGCCAAAACTAAGTACTTGAATAGATGTTCTATATTTTAAAGAATTCAGGTTCTAAAACAACTTTGTGAACTACGGGAGAATATTTCTGGCAAAATCTTATCATTCTTCTATGTCATCTTCAATAACTCTGTACTAGTAGGACTATATTAGAAATATAAAAGTCCACTCCTGTCTCCCATGCTAGACTCATAATCAACTCAGAAAACATAGAATCAGTAAAGACATCAGAGCCTATGTGAGAAAGAGGGCATATTTTAATAACGTCTCATACCAATAATATATTCTCAGTGATATTATAAAAATAATAAAAGTTGGAAATGTTTAATTTTAATGATTCAAATTAAGTGTTATAATTATAAACCAAATAAAATGCCATGAAATGGGGGGAAAGTAGCAAAAGCTGAAAAAAAGAAGATTAAAATTCCACAAGAATAAGAATTTTTTTTTTTTTAGATGGAGTTTCACTCTTGTTGGCCAGGCTGGAGTACAGTGGCAAGATCTCAGCTCACTGCAACCTCCGCCTCCCAGGTTCAAGTGATTCTCCTGCCTCAGCCTCCTGAGTAGCTGGGACTACAGGCACCCACCACCATGCCCAGCTAATTTTTGTATTTTTAGTAGAGAGGTGGTTTCACCATGTTGGCCAGACTGGTCTCAAACTCTTGACCTCGGGTGATCAGCCCGCCTTGGCCTCCCAAAGTGCTGGGATTACAGGTGTGAGCCACCATGCCCAGCTGAATAAGAATATTTTTAAAACTCTGCTTAGGCCGGGCGCGGTGGCTCAAGCCTGTAATCCCAGCACTTTGGGAGGCCGAGACAGGCGGATCACGAGGTCAGGAGATCGAGACCATCCTGGCGAACACGGTGAAACCCCGTCTCTACTAAAAAAATACAAAAAAACTAGCCGGGCGAGGCGGCGGGCGCCTGTAGTCCCAGCTACTCGGGAGGCTGAGGCAGGAGAATGGCGTAAACCCGGGGGGCGGAGCTTGCAGTGAGCTGAGATGCGGCCACTACACTCCAGCCCGGGCGACAGAGCCAGACTCCGTCTCAAAAAAAAAAAAAAAAAAAAAAAAAACTCTGCTTCAAAAAGGGAATACAGTAGGGCATACTATTTCTATGGTACACAATTTAAGACAGACTCAGTGCTGAATTCCATTCTTGCCACTTACTCTCTGGGAATAGCAGGCCAGTTGTTTAACCACTTGGAACCTTATTTCCTCATCTGCAAAATGGGACTCGCTTAATGCTTTCATGACGGTGTGACAAAGACACGTAAAATACTCAGCACAAGGTACATTTGTAGTGTTCTTCACTGGTAGATGGAAAAAAAAAAAAAAAGACTACAAAAATCCTAAACGATCAAGGTGACATATGACAATAACATAGGCTGTGCCTTACCAAGAGAGCCAGTGCATCCAAAGCCAGACATCCACCAAAGGTCACAGGATATGAAATAATGGATATGAAATAATGGGTGTCCCTGATCTTGATGATACATTGTTGAGGAGATAAAAATTAAAGGCTAAAAACCAAGAAAATGGGGTAAATATTTAACGGGGGTCAAGAAACAAGCAGGTCAAAGTAAATGACTAAGAGGGAACCAATCAATCTGATACAACCATATCCAATCAGAAATGACCTTGATGATGTTCAGGGAAAAGTAAAGCCAGTAACAGCTGGTTTATGAGACACATTTGCTGAGCTTTGACATTGACTGCTCTACTCCCAGGGAAGAAGGCAATGAGGCCTTTAATTAGAAATTTGCTATCACTTTCAAGTGACAAGAGTCTAATGTCCTTGAGGCATTGGGAAGGACACTCAAGGGTCTGAATCAGAGTTCATCAAAGAGTGACGAGTGATATCCCACCACACAGACAAAGTTATAGAAAGACACCAGGTATTTCAGGCCTGAGAGTTCTGTCCTATGAACAGTGGGATTCAAGAGAAGAGCTCATTCCCAGAGAATGACTCCATTTGACTGAGTAGAGCAGAGTGGGCCACATCAGCTTCAATCAGAGTTCTCTGTTAATACATACCTCCAACGGCTGCTGTTTTGCATTTATCGACAGGTTCCTCTAAAAGTAGTCTCAGGTATACTTGCTGAGGCAGGGTCTCGTCTTCTATTTCATGTTTCCAAACCATACACTTTTGGGCATCCCAAAAAACTCAGTGGTGTGCCTGGAACAAAGAAGCAGTTTCAGCTTAACAACTTCAAAACAGAATCACAAAATTCTAAAGCTGAGAGAGACTGTGTAAATTCAGTGCAGTTCACTATAAATAAAAGGATTAAAGTACTTGTAAACTTGGAAACAAAGAATTCATAATGAACCTTCCCTACCTCCTCCCATTTTTTCTTTCTTTTCTAGCTTTTTAATTGTTGTATTTTTTACAGTAGTATAATATATACATATAACATAAAGCTTACTCCATCTTTTCTAATTAAAAGTTTTTAGCCCTATGACTGTAAAAGGTGTTTCTCCTTTTATATAATTATCTACTATTTTTAGTTGCCAACAAATAATTGATTATCATAAATTAAGTATAAGTTTGAAGTTTCAGCTTCAAACTGAAAACAAAGGTAACTACTGAGTTATCGTCTTTACAAGTTGACTTATAAAAATGTTATGATCTCTCTGGGGCCAAAACATTACCCTGATAAGTAACAGCTTTTATAGTTATATATGTGTACATGGTACACATTTCCTGGCAGCATAATCAGGAAGCTAGAGACAATGTCTTGTACTAAAGAACAAAGAGGGCTATTCATTTAGTGCCTCATTCGTAGTAATTTGTACTTATATGTGGAAGATATGGAATCTAATGGTAGCTAGAAAGGCAGTATATTTTGTTTGATCATATTTAATTTAATCAGTAACATTTTCTTTTTTTTTTTTTTTTCCCGTGATAATCTATAAGAATTAGGCTCTCAACCCTTTTCAGGATCATATACGCCCTACAGTATTGAGTATCTATGAAAACTAAGCCTGTTCCATCCCTCTCCACTTAAATTTCAGGACAATCGTTAACTCCTTAAAGCTATCCCTGGACCCCAGGATAAAAATCACAGGTGCTCTCCAGCTGTCAAGCTGGGGAGCTGATACCTTGAGCCAACTAACAGACTTAATTCTATAAACCATTCTTACAGACAAAAACAATCCACTACTCTCAACAGTCCTAAGGACTTAGTTAGGACCAGGCATCCCTCCGCACCCTCCCATCTTTTAATCATTATTTATTCTATCGGTAAGAAATGGTGCTACATCTGTAAATAATCAAACATAGGCACAAAGAAAGCAGTTATCAACTAAAACAGCAATAAAATAAAACAAACAAACAAAAACTAGGACTCTTTTGCCATTACATTAGCTTAAAAGTATTCAATTAAAGTTTCAGGCCAGGCGTGGTGGCTCATGCCTATAATTCCAGCACTAACCTAGGCAACAACACGCTTAGGAAATGATGGAGCTTCTGGTTCCTCAGAAGGGGAGCAGGGAAGACTGAAAAGATGGGGGTGGTGAAGTGTGTATAAAAAAAAAAAAGACCCTTACCCCGCACCATAAATTAAAGTTAACTCAAGATGGAGTAAACACCTAAAATTAAGACCTGAAACTAAAATTCCTAGCAAAAAAAAAAAAAAAAAATAGAGGAAACGCTTCATGACATTGGAGTTGGCAATGATTTTTTGGGTATGACATCAAAAACACAGGTTAAAAAAAAAAAACACAAAATAAGCAAATGGGACTACATCAAACTTAAAAACTAAAGGAAGCAATCAACCAAGTGAAAGGACAACCCACAGAAAATATTTGTAAACCATATATCTGACAAAGTGTTAATATCCAGAATATATAAAGAATGCCCACAATTCAACAACAAAAAGCTAAATAATAATTAAAAATTGGCAAAGGATTTGAATGGACATTTCTCCAAAGAAGATATACAAATGGTCAATAAGCACATGAAAAGATGCTTAACATTCCTAATCATCAGGAAAATGCAAATCAAAACCACAATGAGATATCATCTCACACCCATTAGAATGACCACTATCAAAAACAAAAATAGAAAATAGCAAGTGTTGACAAAGATGTGGAGAAGTTGACTGTAGTATTTGTACAGTGTTGGCAGAAATGTCAAATGGCACATTTCTGCCAGTTATGGCAGTTCCTCAAAACATATGATCCAGTAAGCTCACTTTTGGTACGCATCTGAAAGAAGTGAAAGCAGGGTCTTGAAGAGATGTCTGCACAGCCCTGTTTACTTAAGCACTACTCACAATAGTTAAGAGGTGGATGCAACCTACACATCCAATGACAGATGAATAAAGAAAACATGGTATATACATACAATGAAATATTATTCAACCTTAAAAAGAAGGAAATCCTCTTATGTGCTCCAACATGGATGAACCCTGAGGACATTATGCAAAGTAAAACAAGCCAGTCACAAAAAGACAAATATTACATGATTCTACTTATAGGAGATACCTAAAGTAGCCAAATTTACAGAAACAGAAGGTGGTTCGTAGTTGCCAGAGGCTGGGCAGTCGGGCTAAAGGGGTGTTGCTGTTCAATGGGTATAGAGTTTCAGTTTTGCAACATAAAAAGTTCTAGAGAGCTTTTGTACAACAATGTGTACATAGTTAACACTACTGTACACTTAAAAATGAATATATTTTATGTTATGTGTTTTTTACCACAATAAAAACAAATGAGAGATTATCCTGGATTATCTGAATGGGCCTAGTATAATCACCAGGGTCCTTAAAAGTGGAAGTGGTAGACAGAAAAGGAAGTCAGAGTAATGCAATATGAGGCCATTTGACCATTGTTGACTTTAAAGATGGAAAGGGGCCAGGAGCCAAGAAATGCAGCCAGCAGCTAGAAGCTAAAAAATAAAAACAAGGAAAGGAACTCTTCCCTAGAGCCTGTGGAAAAGAGTGCAGCCTGTGGACACCTGTTTTGTTTTGCTACAGGGTCTCACTCTGTCGCCCAGGCTGGAGTGCAGTGGCATGATCCCTGCTCACTGCAACCTCTGCCTCCAGGGTTCAAGCGATTCTCATGCCTCAGCCTCCTGAGTAGCTGAGACTACAGGCATTCACCACTACACCCGACTAATTTTTGTATTTTTTGGTAGAGACAGGGTTTCACCATGTTGGCCAGGCTGGTCTTGAACTCCTGACCTCAAGTGATCCACCAGCTTGGCCTCCCAAAGTGCTGGGTTTACAGGCATGAGCCACTGCGCCTGGCCCGTTGATTTTAGCCCAGTGAGACCTGCCGTCAGACTTCTGACGCACAGAACTGTAAGATGATAAATTTGTGTGGAGCAAAGAAGGGGAGGAGGGAGGGAAGAAGGGAGAAAGGGAGGGAGTTAGAACCCCAGATCCTCTCCCTCACCTGGTAGAGCCAAACAAACCATCCCTACATCCTTACATCCCTGTAAGAAGGGGCAGTTTACCCTCTGGAGAAAATGATACAGCAAGACTTCAAACCTAGACTCCAGATAAGGCTGAAACAAAAGCACTGGATCTAAGCATTCTCAGGCTTGGATGGTGAGACCTCTGGCTCCCTTCCTCCTCACTCCTCTGTGGTGCCCCAAATCCTCACAGGTAGGCTTACACCCTACAAAAAAAGTAAACAAAGAATTCCTTTTTGGATAAACTGAAAGGTCCAAGGAAAAAAGTCTACAGATTTTGATACATGATAATTACCTACTGAAATGGCTAGTAAAGCCTCTGCTCAAAGACCTTAGAGTGAAGCCAATCAGGTAACAAATTTGCAGTCCATTTTTTATTATCTTACTCTTAAGTAAGAACAGACAACTAAATCCCCAGCACTCATTTGGGAAGAGCCTTTAACATTAAAATCAGTGATCAAAATGAGAAGATAAAGGGAACACACAGGAAAATGTGCAAAGAACGGGAAAAAACAGCAAAATAGTCCAATTCATATTCTCAAAAAAATGAGAAAATATTGCATCTATGAAACAAAAACAGGATTCTAATTTTTAAAACAAAATATTCATAGACCCTAAAAAATTAAATTCAAAATTACAAACCCGCTAGCAGAAATTAAACATTCAACAGATACTAAGGAAACCTCTCAGAAAGCAGAAGAAAAACACAGAAGGATGGAAAATAGTTAAGAGTAAGACTTAAGAAAATTAGAGGATCAAACAGTAGGTGCAAATACCCAACTAACAGACTAAGAGAAAAGAGAGAATGGGGGGGGGGGGGAATTATCAAAGAAATAGTACAAGAAAATTTACAAATTGACAGACATCAGTTTCCAAGCTGAGAGAACCATGAACATCAAAAACAACGAGAGGTGTCCCAATATTGCAGAATTCTGGAGATAAAGAAAAGTAATGAAACATTTTCCAGAGACAAAAAAACAGTTCACAAACAACCAACTGGGAGGCAGAATGGCTTGAGACATCTCAACTTATACCACAGAGCTCAGCCACAAAAATATATAGTCATAATAAAGTAGACATTAATACTTATCTAAATATAGACTGCATCAAGAAAATAAAGAGAAAGGAAAAGTAAGTATGTAGTAAGGGTAAAGGGTGGTCAATATGTAGGTATGTAGTAAGGGTAAAGGGTGCAGTAACAATGACTGCATCAAGAAAATAAAGAGACAGGAAAAGTAGGTATGTAGTAAGGGTAAATGGTGGTCTATGAGAGAGAACTCCTCAGTAGGAAATCAATGTATAAGTCTAAGATTTTAAAAGGAATCAATAAATGGCACTTAGAGCATACAATGTGTTGTTTAGAAATAGGTAGATGAATACTGGAAAATACAACTAAAAGTATTGAAAAGGGCTATCTTTAGGCAAAGAGGCAATAAGAGTATAAAAGAACAAAGAATGGCTATTAGAGTACTATTTGAATTCTTAAACACTATACATGCAATTACCTCTAAATAAATAAAATAAATGAAAGGAAAGAAGGAAGGAAGGAAAGGAGGGAAAGAGGGAGAAAGACTTAAGAAAACAATTCTACAAATTGTTACACAGTAGAGATCTTCAATGTTCATCTACACAGAAAGAATGGAAACAGCAACTGTCCTAAGATTATGCAAATGATTACTTGTGGCTTGGGATAAAATTTCCAAATATAGTGCCATACATAGATTCCAAAAGTGCTGTACTGCAAACACCTAAAATGATAACAGGCTGTAGAAAATAATATTGAATGCTTCAAAAATATGACTCAAATAATGAAGACACTGATGTCAGATATGTATGTAAAGAGTTGGAAGAAAATTATTCTGGGGTAGGAAAAAAGCATTAGTTATAAATACTCCATTTTGCATAAATACTTGCACAAAATATGTACATAACTAAATTAATTAAATGGTAATATGTATTTGACTATTTCATCTATATCCCCAAAATATTCCTTATATATTCCAATTGCCGACAAAAATTGTTTGTTTAGATCCTTTCATTGGGAGAACACAGAAAATATAAATTAGCATAAAAGGTAAATAATTTAAAAATCCATTTACCTGAATCATGCTGTTATTTTTCTTCATCAGTCTTCCTTCCAATCTAGAAGAAAGTAATATGTAAATTAAAGTGCATTCTTCATGCAATGAGCTGCTTATAAGAAAAAAAGCCTAAAATCCAAGTTAACTATTACTCACTTCTTGTTATGTATCCATAGGAAAAAGAAAAAGCATTATTTCACCAATTCCCAACTAATTTCTGGCTGTCATGGTATTCAGAGTAAGCTTCTATTAGACAATGCCAAGCAGAAGTAAGCATGCAAATCCAATGGCAATAAAAAAAATCGCACACCAAATGCATCTGATGGTATAACAGGAGTTTTAAAACCATGTACCTTTATAAATTATCTCCTCTCCATTTAGGTAAATAACTGCTAACTGACTATATAAAAAAGATAAAGAAGCAAGAAAGTGTATTTTTCAAACCGTAATAATTACAACCCTGGGGTAAATTTTCATTTTTACCAAAATGCAATCAATAGCAAGTTAAGTGGAACAACCACAGACCACATACATAAGGGTATGATCAAACAGCTTATAAATAACTAACCCACATCACCCTAAAGGCTTAAAAATGCTTCCGCGTTTTATTTCATGAAAGACTTTTTCAGCTAAAAATGAAATATGACCCTGTGTAAGTAAAATATACAAGTGAATTAGGCTACATGCAGAAAGGGGAAAAAGTAATTTTTAAAAAAATTAGCAAGCCCAGAAATCTTGTGTGGCTTAATAAATTTTCTTAAAGTGAACACCACTCTCCCAAAAAGTCAACACTGCCCTGCCTTCAAATAGAACACATTAGTTTTGCCTGTTGGGCTAGGTATAATTATTTAGGAATCTATCTGGGAGTCTAAGAATCCCTGTATCTGGTCAAAAATAAAATGCTTTAAGGAAAGGGGAGCAAGTAGTCGTTGACTACAAAGTGGTATTATTTCCGAAAGATGTTAACGTGTCTGAGGAAAAAGTTTTGGCTGATTGGTTGATTGTATGAGGTCAACCTGCAAGTTTTCCAGAGACCAAAGGACAGAGAAGCAGTTTATGATAGAAACAGAAGGGGAAGGGCCTTCCTGTTGTCCAGGAGGAATGGACTTCTGGGAATAAGATGGGAGAAGGCAGGAGCAGAGGGGAGAGAAGGGAGTGGGGAGGGAGGGTGGCCTCCTTTCTATAGGTACAGAAATACCTATAAAGATAGTAACCAAGCTCGTCCGTGCTAGAAGCTAGATGAAATTACTAATGCATGATCTCACTTAATCTTCCAATTCCTAGGAAGCCTGTTTTGCAATCTCCAGTTGACAGATACCAATACTGAGTCTCAAATCATCAATGGTTTCTGATGTAAACAGTTTGTGGGTGAAATAATGCTATTCCTCTTTACAGCTTGAATGCAGGGCTAGATTCGCCATCAACAAAAAGAGAGAGATTCACGAAAATGAAGCCTTATAATTAAATACAGAATATGCTGTTTTGTCCCTACCCACAAATCATTTAAAGGAAAAGAATCAACTTATTCAGGACCCAAGAAGTCTTCTGAATTACCAGAAAGTGGAATAGTTTTGTTACTTGTAAAGTAGGCCCATGTTATCTTTTTGTACATCAAAGAAGTTTCAAAAGAAACTGAATTTCATAAGAGATAATTTTCTGACATGTTAACTGGTTTTATGGTACTGTGTGCTTTCCCACTGTAATGGGAGAAATCAGAAGAACACAGTGTCCCTCAGAGATAGCCACAGATGCAAAGAGGCAAATTACCACCAGATAATTATTGAAGAACCCATGATAGTGTCACCTTCAAACGGCATGCCACACCTGCATGAATATTTAATTTCTATCACAAGTACTTTCAAAAAGCAGGGGCCAAAATAGGAACATAGTTGAAAAAGGGAACTTCCCATTCTGCCATTTGACAGGAAGAAAATAAAATATCTACCTTTTAAGGCAATATGTTATATATCAAAGAAGTGTAGCTAAAAAGATCTTCCTACATCCTCACTGGTGAACACAAAGTAATATCTCAATGACAATAAATGATTGTGAGACATCATGAGATGCCTTTATACTTAACCCCACAAGAACCCTATGTGTGTGTGTTGGGTGAGGGGTGGAGGGTGAAGGGTTTAGAATCCCCTACTTAACCAGATGAAGACATTAGGCTCATAACAGAGGTTATGTTGTAACTTGTCCAAAGTTGCAAATTTGTCCAACGTCAAACTTTGAGGAAATGGGAAAGGGTTCCAAATTACATGTCGGATACCTTTAGGCTATTGTGTTGACCATAACAACTCTGCCTTGGTGATGAATATACTTGAATCTGTTTTTTAATAAAAATTGATCCATTCACTATTTTCCAGTTTCAAATTGCTTTTGCTATCTTCCCGAGTAAAGGATCTTGACACTCCTTCCTCCCGTGAGATGGAGTAAGTATTCTGTCAGCGAGTGGCTTGAGAAGGTCTAGAGGGACTATTTTTAGGATAGCTGCTAAAGCCTCTGAGAGCACCCTGGTAATCCTCCTTTTATAGGATCTAGCATATGGAATGCATAGTGAAAGCTGCAGGCTTGATTTTTCAGGGGACACATGCCATGAAGATACAATGCAAAAAGTTCTTTCTGGGACTCTATAAGTAAGCAAGTTAACAATGCATACCATGCACAGTAAATCATCTAAGGAAAAAATTACCCACATTATACTTAAAAGTCTGTGGCTTTAAACTTTCGATTGAGGATTGAGCAAAGTATGGCATGAGTCTTTGCAGACATTAACCTAATGACATGCAGAATCCTGGTGGTGGGGGGAGTGTGGTACAGAATAAGGTACTCTTCCCCTATTCAATAATTCTGGTATAGCAATACTCAAACTCCTATGTGTTTACTACTTGTGACTTCCTCTCAAGGAAAACACACTGGAGTAGGAGAAAGTTCAAAGGGTAAAAAGGAATGGGCATAAGAACCAAGGTTGTGGAAAGAAAAGATTAAAGTTCACAAAATTCTGCAAGGCATTGGCAAGCCCCCACTTTATAAGTTTACATTTGTAGGGCCAACCCTTTCAAAACTTATTACTTCCTCTTAGATTGGGGGTGCAGGGGGGCAGTGGTTTCATTCTGGGGCCAATCTGATTGATCAATAGGCAGTGGCTTCCTAGAAGCCACACCAGAAGACAGTGCCCAAATCAACTGCCATTGCCTGCTATGGACACACGATGTGGAAATTGCAGCAGGCACGCTTCGTTTTTGGCAGCCCTGTCCCACACCCTATTATTAGAGTTCAGTTGTTGATTCTCAGGGGAAAGACGGCGTGTAATAAGAAATAAATAATATAGAGAGACCAGGAAGAGCACTCCATTAAAACTGCATTTTATTAGAATAGTAAAAACACTGAAAACTTTCTCATTCTTACTCATAAACAGCATGTTTTGCAAATTAGAGCCTGGCTTAAGAGAATACAAAATCCAAAGTAGAAAGTTTGTGTTTTCTTCCTTTATACAAAGTTAGTGTTTTCTTCCTTTAATATCTAACTCTCAATAAACAGAGTTTAACTGACCCTTTTCTCCCTTTCTTCTGCTTGGAGGAGAACCTTTACTATCTTCAAACAGGATCCTGCTGCTGTCAAAAAGCCCCAGGCATGGTCTCTAGCTTTGGTGACTGAAGGTTGCAAGTCTCTTGCTGCAGTCACCCTTAAAGCTTCTTCCTGCTGGCAGCTGGTATCACTGGCATCAGCTCTCTTCACAAGGGAGGACTTCCCACTACACTTAACGAAAGACTTAATCTTCCCTTCACTACACTGCTTTCTTACCTTTTCTAGATTAAAAGAGTAATGCAAAGGGTAAAGTCCTTCCTCAAACTTTGCCTCAATTTACAGCCAAACATGATTGTTTTGAGTAAGTTACAGAGCTCCTCTCTTGAAACTGCTGGCTGAGATGTAAAAGAAAACAAAAAATAAAAAAGACCATCCATTAACTACCCTGGGAGTTCAGCAACTTCCAAACTGGCCTCTCAAACCGGTTTCCCTTTTCCTGTAAAACGCATTTGAATAGAGTTTAGAATAACAGGTTCACCTAGAAGGAAAGAACAGACTTACGGATTGCAATCTACTAAAAATGTAGGAGCTGAATGAGGGATTTAATGAGGGATAAAAATTCCAAAGAAATATACTACACGCCCTTAAGGAAGTAGTTACTTAAAAAGATGATAAAGAGTGAAAGTAACTATGCTCCAGGCAATGGTGAGATAAGTTCATGGGAACAAACCATAACTGGTAAAAGACTGGAAACTAAACCAGTTTTAAGCACGACCTCAAAGCAAACAACACCTCCGCTCACCTTCCCAGAAAGAGTGACACCAAGTGCCTTCGCTTAATGCTGCAGAAAAGAAGAGGTACTTTATCCCTTCATTCGGCAAACATTTATTGAGCAAGAAGGTGGGATTATATAGAGATGAAAGAGCAGCTTCCCTGAAGGAGCTTAGTTTAGCAAGGAGAAAAAAAACACATAAATCAGTATTTACATTTCTATGTGGTACCAGGGAGTCATAACACTGAGCTAAAGCACAACATCAACCAACACAACCACTTCCCTGGTAGGGGCCAGACACAATTCTGATATTTTTAGGTAACTCATTTGAATCTTTGAAACAAGCCTATGAGACTGGCAAACACTTTTCCTGGTTTACTGGTGCAATTAGCGTGTATGAGATATAAAAAAGGATCTTTCAAACACAAAGTTTACTCAAATTAAATCTTCAAATTATGCCTCCCTCCCCAAATACAAATCTCAATCCCTATTTTAGCTTTTGCAGGTTGCCCAGCAGTATCTGAGGTTCCCAGAACTCTCACTGAGAAATTCACAAATTGAAGAAATTATTTCCTACATCACAGGACTTGTTATCAAGGGCCACGTCAGTAATGCCCTGCCTACAGTAGAGCATTACTAAAAACAAACAAAATGAGAGCAGTTTTGTTTGTTTTTAAATCCTTACCCACAGATGTACCAAAATAATCTTCTACGTTATTTAATCCTAGCTTCGTCAAGGGCAAGAGTCACACCATGTCTGT